AATTTCGTCAAATAAAGAACTTATTTTTCCCCACCATATCTCGGGGTGTGGGGTGTGGCGTGTAGGTGGTGGGTCTGGGTCTGGGTGCTGTTAGAGAGAAGACTCTCATCCACGTCCACACACCCACACCCACAGCCACAGCCGGCGTGGGTGTGGGTGTAGTTGCTCCTCTTACCCACACCCACACTCACACCCACACCCACACCCACACTACCCACACTCACACCACCCACACCCACACCCACACCCACACCCACACCCACACCCACACCCATCTTATTATTTGATGATGGAAGTTCTCGTTGGTAAAAATAATAGTTTCTAATTATCCGAATGTGACTCTTCTCAATATTGTATAATAATAATAATAATAATAATAATAAAATAAAAATTTAAAACTTCTGAAATGTATAGATGTTTAAATTTTCTTTGAATACATATCAGAGTCTTATTTATTGTTCAATAGATGCATAATTGTTAATTGTTATTTAAAAAGAATCAATAGATGTAGGGAATGTAATAAAAATAATAGAATTTAGCATGGGATTGTCAAATATTATATATTGATCAATGTTATCTAAAAGTTTCAAACTATCAGATATTACAATATCTTCTAAAGTTTTTCGAATTGGTAAGAAAACTAGGGTGTGGTAGATTGGATCCCCTCCGGAAATTTGAAGAAACATAAAATTCGTTCATGTTGTCTTTCGCATGTTGGTTATAAAGACTTGAGGAAGAAGCAACATTATTTGAAGGCTTCTAGGATTGGGATCTGAATTGACACTTTCGGAGAGGATTCAATTATAAAATGGAGTGAAAAAGTTTTCATTCGATAAAGCTCGTCGAATTTTACCTTCCTACATCAGTTTTATAGTTTGGTTCCAGCTGGGGCAAATCGAGAGCGAGTTTTTCGCCATAACCACGCCTCCAGACTGTATTGAGATTTTAGGGGGAGAGGGGGAATGAAAGCACCTAAAATACCTTGAAAGATGTCTATCGGATAGAGCTCGTCGAATTCTATCAATCCATCTCATTTTTATATTTCGATCCCAACTGTGAGCGAATCTAGACCTGAAATATTCTCCGCAATAAATTCAAGTCGTACTTAAATCGATAAATCGATCATAATAAAAGATTATAGATTTAAAATTGGATGTGAATGTGATTCTGAGTAGAATTCTCCGTTATGAACTCATATCCACATGCTATGTTCGTCGAAGTAAGAACAAAGTATGTTAATTTTTTTCTACTAACTTTTGCTTCTCGATATTTATCAGAGATGTATCTTTCGATTTTATTTTGTATAAATCACTTATGCAGACCCTCTTCCGCACAACATACGTCTCTTTTAAAATATGTCCTTGACAAAATGTGTCAGAAAAAAAATAAAGAAAGAGAAAAAAACGAAGTAGACGAGCGAAGGAAAAAAACGTATACACGTGTGTTACTACACAGATAAAATAAAGAATCGTTCGACAAAACAAGTAAATGTTGTTATAAAAGTAACATCAAGCCAAAGCAACAACAATTTTACAGTAAGGAATTCTCAATATATTCGATTCGATTTATATTAGTATTTCATTTATCCTCTCATATACAATCTAGATAGTTATGAAATTAAAATAAATGATTGACTTATGATAATTATTTTGGTTTTTTTAATAGTTGACTTGATTTATTTTTCGATCTTCGTTTGATTTTTATGCATAGTTTTAATCAACGATAATCTTGATACGATTACTCTATATTATATTATTAGTTTACTTGCTTTTTTTCTGATATTAAAATAACATGTTGAGTTAGTCAAAAAAGGAGATTTTAGCCATCAGCATAATATGACAAAGGATTTAGTAATCATAGATAACACAGTAGAAATCGAACGAATCTTGGAATTATAGCTAAGTCGCAATATTCTATGTCACACAATAAACCGTAATGGACATAGCACGAAGTATCAAGCTGAAGTTTTTCTCTAAAGAAAATTGCGTTAAGTTTTAGATGACCGACATTGTCATGTATTATTCATCTTATTCATCTAAAATCTCCTATAAAATAATGAAACAGCAATGTGTTCATATTTTTGCATAAACAAGACTTAAACTGGGAGCAAAATTTTAAGATTCTGTTGCATTTTTGTTTTTCTTCATCAAAGACTTCTTTTAATCAACATCCAAATAGTGATTTTGATAACTTTCCAAACGAGCTACAAGCCTATTTTATCAAAAATATCAACGGTAAATTGACTTAGTTCTTATTACAGCAACTGGTTTTTTGTCTAGCAGACAAAATTTTAAGACATTTTTTATTTTATCGATTTTGTCTTTACTGAAGAACAGAAAACATTTCAAAAACATATCACTAGATTCAATTTTGAATGGCTTGTATGTCGATACAAATGTTTTTGAAAAACTATCTTATCTAATAAGTAATAATGATTAATTATTAGTTAACAGTTATAGAAAAATATCATCATAAATTTCAATTCTGAAGTTCACTATAAGAAAGAGCATTGAAAATGAAATAAATCTATATATGTTTTTTCTACTACAATTAGTATTAATGGGAGATGTTCAGCAGTATTGTAGAAATTCATTAATTAACACCGTATTATCAATAAAGATAATTAAGCACTAAGAAGAAGTTTCAAATTTCTGAAATCCAGTGGATTTTGTAAAGCAGAATATGTTCTATCGATCAAGACCAAGCGTGCTTTGTTACGACGTAGTGTTCCAGCTGCACCATATTTTCAACGATGGCTTCTAGCTATTTTCCACTTTGTTTTGACTAAAGTTCGTTCAATGTGTTACATCATATGGTTAGCACATACTACACAAACCTGCTTAGTCGTGTTCAATGGAAGAAAATCTGCTTTAAAAAATTGCATTGTATTTCAGAAATTTGAAACTTAGTGCTAAATTATCTTTGTTGATAATGTAGTGCTAATTAATATCTGCAATAATGCTTAAAATCTCCCATTAAAACTAATTGTAATAGAAAAAAAGACACATAGATTTCTTTCATTTTCAATACTCTTTCCTTTAGTGCACTTCGAAACGGAAATTTATCATTATATTTTCCTATATCTGTTTACTAATAATTAATCATTATTAATAATTAGATAAGATAGTTTACCAAAAATGTTTCTACCAAAATGCAAGCCATTCAACACTGGATCTAATACTATGTTTTTGAAATGTTTTCTGTTCTTCAGTAACGATAAAATCGATAAAATAAAAAAGTGCCTTAAAATGTTGTCTGCTAGACAAAAACAGTTTTTGAAATCATAGGCTTGTAGCTTGCTTGGAAAGCTATTAAAATCACTATTTGGATGTCGATTAAAAGAAGTTTTTGATGGAGAAAAACAAAAATGCAAAAGAACCTATAAACTTTGTACTCCACTTTATATTTCAGATCTGTTCACATATACCTTATTCTGTTAGATATACTAGCTCGTATAAGATGTAATCTGATCTATAGACACTATAAGGTCTTGGTGTTTTCTTGTACTTTCTTATCCCAACCACTCACATGCCTATCAATATTTTTCGCTGAAAATTAGTTTATTCTCTTTCCCTTTCGGCAATCGATTACATCAGAATCGAATAGAACTATTGTCCTCATTTGTATGTATTCTATTTCTCACGCATACGTTAGTCATCAATGCGAAGCAAAATTATATTTTTACAAGAGTCAAAAATACATTAGCTTTTTCATTTATTGGAATTTTAGACAAGTGTACAAATGGTGGACATTTTTCCTTTGATATTCCAATTCAAGAAAGATTTAACTGGCAAGTTGTAAACTTATATATGTTCCTATTTTTTACCAGACTTGTGTTTTCATTTTAGAGCTATTCATAATACGACATCCACAATTTATAAGAGTATTTTTGACTTTATCAAACAATTGTATGCATGCTCAGTTTGGGTAAGTTTTGTGATGAAATACAAAATTACTTGCAAATCACTAACCGTAGCTGCTCAATAAAAAAATTCTAGAAAAAATTTTCGAACATAACAAATTCATTTTTAACAAAGCTCTAGGTATATACATGATCCATGCGTTGCAGTATTAAACTTAACCATAGTATTTGAAATCTAAATAATTATTGTAATTTTTTTTCGTAGGTTTTTGAATATTTCACTTATACAAGAACAAATTCAAGGGTTGTCGTACAGGAAGTCTTTCATTTCGAACGATTCAACTAGCTATCATAATTAGACAAAAACGTGTTTAAGAAAATCAACACATTATAATATCTAGATTAGATGAGCTTGAGTTGTTCTCGAAAACAATTTTTATGATAAGTAATTATTCAAGTATTATTTTGGTTATAATTATGAAGGCGAAAGACTGTTTCTCTACGGAATAATGTCGATCGATTTCCGTGTACGTTAGTCGAAAGTTATTAGAAAAGTAACTATTTTGCGTTTCGAATGATTTGGGATCTCCTGCAAGAAAACTCGAGTAGTAGCAAGAGATTGATCACAAGGAAAAATCTACTCGAAACAAACCAAAAATAATAATTTCTTGACTAATTCACTCCACTGAGTTTCATGATTGCACTTCATCTTCCAAAAAGTTTTTCATTTGATAGTTCGATGTCTGTTACTTTTCTTCTATCGAGAGAGAAAGTCCTAGTTCATACTCTGTTCATGAATCCGAACTATTCACGAATAATTGAGATATTTATAAACTGAAAATTGAGAAGCTTCCTTGCAGATGACGCTGAAATCTCTCCATTTTCTAATGCGTTTGTCTTCTTCTTTAGAAGAATGTTCTTTTTGAATGACCCTTAAGATAATGCCAATATCTCTACATATGACAAAGAGCATTTAAAATGTATCGGCAAAGAGAAAATAAATAATATTACTCAACTCAAACCTGGCGATCATGTTAGTTATTGTAACCGTATTCTTTCCTACTCATATCATGGAATTGTACGTGAAGTTCATACTAATTATATCCTTGTTATACATTATTTCAACATAATAGAAAATATGTGGGACTCATTAATACAAGGTTCTTTGTATCTTACCGAAGTTATTCTAAGTGAATGGAAGGTGAAAATAGATAGTGATGATGAAGAAATTTATGTACATTATTATGATAGTATGAAATGTCTTTCGAATGAAGAAACTCTAGAGCGAGCTACTAATTATCTAGGAAAACGTGGCTATTCCTTAATCGGTAATAATTCTGAACATTGGGCAAGATGGTGTCGATCTGGTGATACCTATTGCGAACGAGCTATTAAACTTCATAATATAGTTAAAGATAAAGCAGCTATACTTTTAATTATCGATCCCAGCGCCTTATTTATCAAAGATACAGTAATTGTTGGTACTCAAAACTGTGGATCATTTCTAGGTTCCATAGGATCTGGTGTAATTTTTTCCACGGTAGCAGGCATCACAACATTCATTGATATAAAAAAACAACGAAATAATAGACGAAAAGGTGAATTGAGTGATATTGCTTTCAAGAAATATGTCATACAGCGTGTTGCGTCCACAGCTGGCATGGTAAGTAATTTTTTTACTCTCAGGTAATACAAAATAATGCGAAACCTTGTTCAGATCATTGGAAGAACAACAGGTACCATTGTTGGTACTGTTCTTATTCCTGTACCCATTCTAGGTCCAGTTGTCGGTAGTACTATCGGTACTGTGAGCGGAAAAATTATTGGTAGTCTATCAGGTATTGCTATATCGAAAGTTCTTGAAGAATACGAGAAACGTAAACAAGAAAAGATATATTATGAAATGAAAACTGTTTCACAGCTTGTAGCTGCATTATTGCCAGAGAGTCAATTCTTCCAAGGCTTGAGTACATTTTCACTCGGGCATAAACAAACAGCGCCAGAAGAAACAACTCCTAACTCATCAGCACTTCATCTGCTTTTTGAACAACTAGTGCATCCATATTCACATTTGAAAAAAAATGAATGTCAAATGGAAAATCAGCAGATACAGACGACTTTTCTAGATTCAAACACTTTCGACTATTTTGTGCTTACACCAGTACCTGATGAAAATTCACCTGAAGAGTTCGCATCTACTGTTGATCTTCTTTTACTTCGATGGCCAATTCGACAACCACAACCATGGACGATCGATGAAGAATACGTACTTGATATAAGTGATTTAAAAATAACAAACTCAGAAGTCTAAAAAATTCGACTTGTTGGAAGGACTCACTAGATGTTTTTCTCATTAAAATTAATGTTCGAGTAAAAAGAAAGCCTTAATTAATGTATTGAATATAACATATGAAAAACTTCTCCAATATTTCATTATGCTCTATCTTATCATTCTTAGGGGATTAGACTGATGTGAGTTTGGGTACTAGCATGGGTGTGGAATGTAAATTATTTTGTGTACATAGATAAGTGTGTCGTATGACGATGGCCTACCTGGATACACGTACAGACATCATGTACAAACGCTCTGGAATGAAACTCACGGAAATCTGATGTTAAAATAGGAGAATTCGATGTTTAAAAAAGAAGTAGCCAATAGACTAAATGCTGAGAAGAAGATCAATTCATTGTACTGAGAGTTGTTGAATGTCTCTTCTATTAACTATTACAAAATGAATTGATCCTTTTCGAATACAGTATAAGAATGTTCCAATACTGTTAAAATAAATGTTATTCGCTAATTCTTATTTTTGTCTTTTTCCAAATAATGCTATTAAACACTAGATTTCAAAAACAGAATATACAATATTCACTTACCTTATTAGTTGCTAAAAAATATATCTCTTTGCAAAACTATGCTTAAGCAATAAGTAGATAGGGTATAGGTGCCAACATATAAATAAAATTTATTCCCTTTTGTCGTTGTTCATTTCTAGCAATAGTGTCAAGTTTTGGATGTGGGATATGCATATGAGTTAACAGAATAACTAAATCCACACCCTATCCACACCCCGTATATGTAGTTATATCGTTAAGTAAATAGGTAGTTGGATAGTTATATAATTAGACAGGTGACAAGTGGTGATGTGCCAAAATTCTGACGCGAACAGCAAAAGAATGAAAAAAATTCTGGGTGTGGGTGTGAATGTTCGTGATTGTAAATGTCGAAAAAAATACTTCATTCAAACCGACACACACCACAAAAACCCATACCGCACCCACACCTCGGATTCCGGCGGTTTCGCAGAGACGAATAAATAGTCTGACTCCTGCAGCTTTTTACCACCACTGAAAATCACGGTTACCATTACCGTTGCCAATCGTGTTTTCTCAATGAAATTTTTGTCATGGAAATAACTCTTTTTTCCTCTTTCTCAATATATACCCGCTCTTGATGAAAATAATGAAACATAAATAGGACAATGTCGTCATCATACTGTCATCTCGAACAAGTAAAATTCAAAGTAAGGCAGACAATAAAACGCAAACCTAAATTAACATGTCACACATAAATAAAGATATATTAAAAAATGCTTAACACTTTTGTTTGTACCAAAATAAAATATTATAATATCCTCTTATACCACCTCGTTAAAAAAAAGACATAATGAACCAGGACCATTGTTTTAATAGTTGTTGGATTGAGATCTGGATTTACTCTTTCAGAGAAGACCCAAGCATCAAACTAAACTGGAAAGATGCCCATTCTACAGAGCTCACAAGTTCCACCTTGCTATATCATTCATTGTTTTGAGTATGACCTGTGAGGGTGTGAGTGGAGCGTGAGTTCGAGTCTTCGCTTCACTGACCAACTCCCACACGTATACACCCACACCCACACCCTCCGAAAGCTTGTCTAAAAATTACGACAGATAGTAAAAACAAAAATAGATCACGTGAAAAGAGCGGAAACTGGAGTTCAGCTGTATGGAGTTCTTGGCATGAGTGTGGATCTATGACACAATATCTACAAATTCATAACTATAGGAACTCACATTCTTATGATTTTTCGTCTTTTCAAAAGCATTTGTTGTAACTTTCGAGTTTTTTATTTCAGCAGATTATAGTATTAATGTTATTTCTATGACATGCGTCTGAGTTTGGCATATTGTATCTATTCACTATCACAGACGAATGTAGGTGCAACATGTGTATTAGTAAGGATTTAAGACTGCTGCATACTAATTATACTCGGACAAAATCACATGTGTGTTTATTACTGTAAGTGAATTGTTTCTGTTTTGTACATGAATTCAAATTTTATTCCAAGAATGAAAACAATCTATTATAGAAAAGAATGAAAGAAGCAAGCAGAAGAAAAAAATGTCAAAAACGAGGACGATTCTTGAAATAGCAAAACACACATTATATATGTATATATAAAATGACAATGCCAAGGTGAACTGTTCGTAATTATTAAAAAGAACAAAACAAAATATGCAAATATACAGTTCTTCATCGAGAGTAAATCGTTAATATTTAGAATAGGTGTACATGTTTTTAATAAACAATTCAGCAGGTATAAATCGAATCATAGTCTTGCAAATTTAACTACTCTTTTATTATTGCTATCGAGCACATATAAATTAAGATTTGAGTCAAATGCAACGGCAATTGGACTTCCAATCAAAGACGTTGTACTGCTACTATCGGCAATCACAATACCGTCTGTTGAATTGACACAATACATGACAACCCGATTATCACTCCTATCAGCAACATATAAATTTCCATATGAGTCGAAAGCCATACCTCTCGGTCTTGAAAGTGTAGATATAGAATCATTTACTTTGTCTAGAGTTAATGTTGGAGTGTTTACACCAAATGTCCATAAATATATAACACCGCTGCTTTCATTACTTATATATGTTTGATTTGATGAAGTCGGAGACAATAAGAAGTCATATGCGCTCGATAACAAACTATTACTAATTACACTAATTCCAGTTGTTGCGTTTGAACCCCATTTTACTATTCTCTTGTTTCCTCTATCAAGGACGTAGACATTGGAATTTTCATCAACATCAATCGCCACTGCATCATTCAAATCAGTTAGTGCACTTGATGATTGAGATGTAGTTCCAGCAACAGTAGTACCAATGGTAGAGTTTGGAAGAAAACGTTGCACACGATTATTATTGTTATCAGCTACATACATAAATCCATTTTTGTCAAAAGTAAGATCCTCGGGATTGTTGAGCAATGTCGAACTTGAACCAGCAGCACCACTAGTACTGCCAGCTACAGTCACACCAGCTGATGCGTTTGGACTCCATTGTTCAACATGATCCTTAAGTTTATCAGAAACGTATAGATTATCATTGCCGTCAAAGTACAAAGAACTTGGATTATTAAATTGATTAGCAACAATCACACCTGTTTGGTTCCAATGCAAATTATTACCTAAAATAATCAACGAAATTTTAACAAATACTATTATCTATCATTAAATGACTAACAATTGCCAGTAGTAGTTGAACTTGTCGCTAAATAGAAGACGACAAAAAAAACATATTATGATTGATGAATTTAATTTGAAAACATACTAGAACTGGAAATAAAAGATGTTGTTGTGACTGTTGTCGTTGAAACTGAAGTGGTTGCTTTAATAAATAAGAAAATTTATATATTTTGTCATTCAGTATGAACAAAAAATTTATTTTTCTTACTTGTCGTTGTACTAGTAGTTGTCGAAGTACTACCTGTTGATGTTGTTGTACTTGAACTTGTTGATGTTGCTGTACTTGAACTTGTTGATGTTGTTGTTGAGGTTGCTGTCGTACTTGTAGTCGTTGTCGTAGTTAAAGATGTTGTTGTGGTCGTTGTTTTAGTCGTCACAATTAGTGTAGCCACTAGAAATATCACTCTGTACTTAACTAAGTCAAATTGTAAAGCGGAATATCTTTGATTTGCTTATTGTGCTATATTTTGATAGGTTTTTGATGAATGCTCTATTAGTGATAAAGGCATGGCAAAGTTTAGATTAGATAGGACTCGATGTACATGAACAGAAAACATAAATATGATATTGAGATTTAAGTATCTGAAAGAATTTACCATAACATAGCTACTTGTGGTTGTTTGAGTTCCAATCATTTTTATTATGATTAAAAATTTGAATTTCAAAGCAGAATGAAACAAAATTAAATCAAGTAACAGAAATTAAATTCAATGAGTTTTTTTTTCATGTAGCCACTCTAACCATTGTCGTTGTTTAACAACATATTTCACGTGTTAATAACAAGAATGAGGGTAATACGTTAAAATAACTAAAAATTACTCATCTTTTAGTATACATACTGTATATGCAAACAACTAACTTAGCATTATGGGAGCGCTTTTTCACATTATATAAAACACAGTCAACTCCACTGAAATGCTGCTATAGAGATATTGTGACCTTAAATTGATAATATTCCATGTCACCAGATTATTACATTTATATTTTCTTTTATCAAAAAAATGATAATGGATGTTGTTAAAACGACGTGAAACCAATCGTTCAAGCCTTCGATTGAATGTGTTTCGTATTTCTATTAGGAATATGTTAAATATATCTTGATGAAATTCGTATTAAATATTTTTCTTCTTCAAATACGGCTCTCATGAAAACTTATTCTAGGCGTCACAAAAATTTTACTGCAAATCTTTTTAAGAAAATAGTTCGTTCACATATGACGGTCTATACAGTTAAAGTCAAACATATTTTGCAATCAAAATACCTTTAAATGCAAAGTGTATACATTTATTGTCTACGTAATACAAGTTGCGTACATGGTTCTGTGGATACTTCTGTCTTCTGCAGTATGTGAAAATTATTCTAAACAACCATTAACTGTCGATTAGATATAAGCAAAGTTCGATCATAGAAGAAATATGCACTATATATAGTAGTGAAACAGTTTCAAAAGTAAACTGATTTAAATAGCTTTATTAACTCGCTTATCTAAGATCTTTCCTTATGCAATAATCTTACCTGTAGATATTGTTGCCGAATTTTCCGATTCTGACTTTAACCATAGAGTAAGAATAATAGCTAAAACGATGCCGCCAAGTAATAATCCAACAACACAACATTGACAACATGATGACCAGTAAAAAGGTCTCTTCATGTTGTCATTTCTTCTTGATAGAGAACAAAGAAATAAGTGTATTTTCATATGATTGTAACTTTAAAATCTATTAGAATATATCCAACTTTATATTTACCTATAGTAATCATCTTCATATTTTCTACTTGTATTTTTAATTGAATGATGTTCTTTCGTTGAGTTCTGTTTTGACTCTTCATCCCATGTAGAATAGTTGCCAGAGTTGACAGTCGTGAATGGCGATGCACGAGTTCGTAATTCAATCTGGTTGTCTTTTGGCATGGCTCACTTAAATTTTTGCTAGTTTGATAATACTTTTGAATAGTGATGAATAGCTGAATAAGCTGAAGACTCGAATTCAAATTATATTGTGTTTTTTTTCTTTGATTATATGAATAATGATGAATTTTTTGATTCAATACTCTGCAAAAGAAAAAAGAACTCGAGCAAGTTTGTTGTTTGCTCGATCTGATAGATTGCACACCGTAAAATGCAAATTGATTTTCTTCATACAAATTGATTATGTATTGGAGACAAAAAAAGAGCTACATTTTAAAATTAAATTATGTCTTTCATCAACATCCGAATTTTAATTTAAGAAACAATCAATATAGATCGATCTTTGTTTCTATAGAAATTATGTTTATTTTGATCAGCTTTAATAAAGCAAAGTCCCTTGCAAAACTTTTCTTGACGAACAAGAATAAGTTTTATTTAAGAACGATTGATTATTAATTTTAAATAGAATTTCTCTTGCTTCTCTCGGATTCTTTTTGTTATTCTGTTACTTAGCAGCAGTTGTCTAAGTTATGTACACCTCACAACCTGTTTTGTCTTGGTTATTTTTTATTGTTTCATTATTAATATCGTTAAGTTTTCTTAATTTTAACTTAACATGAAACAATACTTATACCAAGATTTTCCATTTATTTTGTTCTTTTCGATATTGATGACGTTTGTTGCGAGTGTCAACATGATAATATTCGATGTTGGGGTGGGTGGTAAATGTGAATGATAGGATGTTAACGATATTTACAGTCGCAATCAATCAGAATAGTTCTTCATTAGTACACTTTAATTGACAGATATAAGCAGAACCTGTCTATTAGTAGTGATAATTTTATTCGAAATGAGTAATCTAACTAGAAAAATATTTTCGCAAACGTTGGCCCATTATATGAGAGGCATTACTGTTGAAATGCTAGTAGAACTGTCAAAAAGTGATTTATAATATATCAACTATTTTCTGATGACAATGATGAGGAATAGAATGTGGGTAGGTGCGGGGTGTGGGTGTGGGTGGGTGTGGGTGTGTGGGGTGTGGGTGCGTGGTGGGTGTGGGGTGTGTGAGTGTGGGTATGGGTGTGGGGTGTGGATATAGGTGTGTGGTGTGGGTGTGTGGGTATGGGTGTGTGGGTGTGTGGGGTGTGGGGTATGGGTGGGGTGTGGGTGGGTGTGGGTGTGGGTATGGATTGGTGTGGGTGTGGAGTGTGGGTATGGGTGTGTGGTGTGGGTGTGGGTGTGGGGTGTGGGTGTTGGTGTGCGTGGATGTGGTTGTGGGTGTGTGGGTGGATGTGAGTCTGGATGTGGCTGTGGGTGTGGCTGCGGCTGTGGGTGTGGATGTGGGTGTGGGTTGCGGGTGTGGTGGGTGTCGGTGTGGGTGTCTTTGTATCATATTCTCTCACACCCAAACCACACCCCATCCAAACCCACACCCATAACCATACCCACACCCACCCACACCCACACCCCACACCCACACGCACACCCACATCCCACACCCAAACCCATACCCCACCCACACCCACACCCACACCCACACCCACCCACACCCATACCCACACCCCATAATGATGATGATCTATTGTTTTTATCAGTTGAAATTGCAATAGAAAACCAGGTTACAAAACTCAAAACTAGTAAACAGTATCGAACTGTTAACATCATTTCTTTTATATCTGAAATATAGAAAAAGTATAAAGTAAATACATTGTATTAAATGATCATAAAATGTAAAAAAAATTAAATGATAAAATAATCGATTTATCTAATCTCGTATAAAGAAGAGAAATTTACTTGTACCAAAATAAAGATCCCACACCAAAAATTATCAACGAAGATGCACATTCGTCTATATACTCGTCGTCAACAAAACAGGGGCGATATTAATATGCAATAATTTCATGTGGGGGTGTGTTTTCATTTCGTGAGAAAATTGAATATCTAGTTGGGTGTGCAAACATGGGAAAATGAAATCACAAAGAACGACCAAAGAATTTGTGTTACGAAATTTCAATGTTTTGATAATAAGAAAGTAATCACATTTGTCCTGGTGACGTGCAACAATGTCTTTCTCATTTCGTAGGCAAAAAGAAAGAAAGAAAGAGTACGAAGAAACTTAGTTGAATCTAATCTAGTCAATAAAATAATCTAAAGTAAAAGCAAAAAAAATAATTTAAACATAAAAAATAATTCTAATTTAAATTTAACTAAAGCCAACTTAAACAAATCACATATAAAATCGTGTACAATTCTTCCAAGATCATATAGAAATTATCTCTCTAATCCACCATAACCACAGAAGATCGTATGAAATTGTGTACAAGACAGAAAAAAATGAAAAAAAATAACTAAATCAAGTAAAATTTCTTTTTATGCATTTATTTATGGTCAAAAAAGTAAATTAAAGAGACAAAGGATATTGAAATTCTATAGATTTAAATTAATTTATGACATAAGTATCTCTTGTATTATTATTACATGAAGATGAGCAAGTTTTATGTTATTGATGTTTTATTTTCGATGATAATTGTTTTTTATCTATTTGATGATTCATATTTTTCATGATACTACGAGAAGCGCCCCTTTTTTTTGTATTAAATTTGAGTAAATTTTTTCACTTGTTCTGCAAAGAATATAATTTGTTATTGAGCTTTATCCTCTCACTCTTGGTTTACATTTATCAGTTGTTTGATATACATATATACCCGTATTTTGCATCGCCCACCATAGCTGAAACAAAAGAACAAACACCATCGATACTATTAATCATTGCGGTGATCAACACGAATAAATAAATGTCTTGTCAAGAAGAATGTTCACTTTCTATATACTATATTGTACGATAAGAAAAATAGGATTTCATTCAATCAACTCATGAGAGAATTATTACTAAAAATTAAAATTTTTATTGATGTCGTCTAAGTTCATAAAGTTAGACGTGTGAATTATGATAAACTGTCGCTATAATTAAATACACTTTAGACGAACGAAATATTCATATTTTCTCACCGAATACACACCGACGACTTTATTCATAGATATATTTTTGTCAATCAGCCACTTCTATTTTCTTTCTTCTTTTTGTTACATAAAATATCACTGCGTTCGTTCGTCCGTATCAAAGGAAAAAAATATCATTTTTTGTCCGTGTACAACAAAAAAAAAGTAGACACAGCATTATCTTTTACAATTTCTTCAAACCAAATGCTTTCAATTGGATGTCATTTCATCTATTTTGCAACGACTTTCGTAGATTATTTTCGTCAATAACTTATTGCGAACTCCTATAAGTCAATACTAATAACATTGCAGATATTCTTATAGTATTTTAATTTAAAAAGATAAATATCTGATTATAAAATACCTAGTAACGCCGAATATCCATCAAATATCTTTTCACGGAATAATATTTATATTTTATAAAATAGGAAAAAATAAACTTAAACATATCTGCATATATACTTCAGACCCTTATCATATCTATTTCGTGCGCCAACAATAAATAACAATCCATTATTATAAAAATAGTCAAAAAACATTTATGTCATACAATTAAATCCACAAATTGGTAATACAATCAATTTCTTGGATTTGTACATGGCTGATATAGATGGTAAGTTATTTACTAAAGTATATCATAAACCATCACATAAACCATATTACTTGCCATATAATAGTGTACATCCAATACATATTAAGAAAAATATTATTTTCACTATGTTATTAAGAACAATTCGATATTGTTCTACATTTGAAGCATATGTACATGAAAGGGAATCATTACGTATGGCTTTTTTATTAAACAAATATTCAAATAAATGTATTGATGAACAATTTAATAAAACATGGTCAAAATTTTATATACATGAAACAATTGATTATAATAATTATGATAGATTAAGACAAAAAATAATTGAACATCCTGAAAAAGAAAAAACATGGATCGATTATAATAAGTATATGTTTATATATTTTACATATTGTTTATCAATGAAACAATTTCCTAAACAGTTTCATATGCCTTTGGAAAAAATATTTTGCTGAATCACCTATTGATGACGTTATACCCGTTCTAGGCGTAAGAAATGCAAAAACTCTTCAACAAAGATTAATATATACAAGAAAATTATAACTATTAATTTAATACCATTTCTTCTTATTCTTTCTTTGTTTCTTTCTTTATTATTATTTTTATCTTTTCATTTTTATTTTCTTTATAATAGAAGAAAAATCAATTAGATTCTAGAATATTTTATTCAAAGACAATATGGAAATTAAATATTTATTAGCAAATTTACTTCTTGAAACAATAGCAAATGTTAGTATTTCAATAACAAATACATCAATATAGTATAATACATTTACATTATATCTTGGTCAAAATCTAAATAATTATGCAATGACTTTATATGAATTGTCAGATACTGATATTGATGATATAGGCAAAAAGTTTAACTCTGCATTATTATAATTTGTTTATATTGATTAACAACACAAATTGTTTTTATATGTACTCTTAATTCATCTATCGACTTAGTCGAGTGCTGAAAAGCACAAATTGAGATTAGCAAATTGAATATTGTTTTGTTTTCAACGGAGAAAGTTCAATTTGTTTTCAATTGATTTGCAATTTGAAGATGAAAAACATTTTTATTAGAATCAAGAAAATATTATATTACAATTGAACCCTGCTCCCCCCCCCCCCCCCCCCCCCCCCTCCCCCTTTGTTTTTATAATCGAAAACAATATAAACTTTTTCATATATCAATGAATATATTTATTATAGAATAATATATCTTAAAAATTATCCGGTATTTATTCGAATAAATGTTCAATATATATGGAACATTTATATGAACAATTCAAATAAAATTGTAAAAAATCTTCTTGATATTCAACTTATCATACTAACTTTACTTTCAAGACCAATTATATTTGATTCAGCTAAAATGAATAATTTATGTACACTTGATATTAAATTAACAGACACCTATGAAATATTATTAACTAAAGCAGCATATGATGATAGTACATTATCATTATTTTGTACAATTATTGTTCCTACTGATTTTCATCTACGATATCTTTGATTAAGAATTTCTTTTTTTTGTTGTTCTTCAAATGATATTAGCTATTTAGACAATAGTGATACATTATATTAAATACCCTTTGTTACCAACAGATTCAACAACTTAATGGTATATCAATTAATTATGATACAATTTCATCTACATCACCAATGTATTCTTTTTCCTTACCAATATATTTTTCTTTTTTTAAAAAATCTTAAAAAAAATTTTTTTTTCTTAATCTATCTAATATTAATCATTATAAAATATTTATTGGTCACATACATACTCAACCATAAATATAAATCGTAGTCATCTTATTTATCAATCAAACAAAATATCTTATTCTTTATCCTGATAAGAATATAATCGAATATATTCAAAATGAATATTATAATAAAACAATTGAACAAATTCAAATTATATTTTTAAATAAAATAAAAATTAAATTATTAAATTATTAATTAAATCTTATAATATTCATTCACCAAATTTTTATAAATTCTCTATTAAGTATATCCATATCATCCAATGAGAAATTTCCTAATAAAAATCTTTCTACACACGATAAAAATTTAAAATATTATCTATTTAATATATTTAATGATTTTAATACAAGTGATAATAAGTATTGAATATATCATCTATTAAAAATTAATAATTAAAAAGAAAAAATATATTTTCAATAAATCAAACAAATCGAATAATAACAATGAATAAGAGTAAAAAAAACTTTTTTAAAATATTGGTGTTTTTATTCGTGCTTTTGATCCATTTACACCAATAAATAGTGAAGCATAAAGTATTACTAAATAAATGATTTACATTCGGTTATAACCATTTGGATAACTGTCTATTTTAAATCAACATATATTACTAGATAAATTATCTACATTCGGGTTGTAACCATTTTGTTAAATAATTATGCAATTGGATAACTGTCTATTTCAAAATTAACATTATTTATCTATGACATCAATTGAAAAACAAGAAGATTATTTATTAATATAAAAAAAGTTTTCTTATCTATTTCTTGTTCTTCCTTTTATACCATATTTTTTTGTGCTTTTTTATGCCTCCTTTCTTCTTTTTATGCAGAGTCCTGATGAGTGTTAAAATTTAAATAAATAACACGAAACGCGTCGGGAAAATGTTTAACTCTGCATTATTATAATTTGTTTATACAATATTATATGTAATAATTAGTAATTAAAATTAATATTCAATAGACCTCGTCTAATATTCTCAATTTTTAGGTAACTAAATCGAACCAAAAAGTCTTTTGAAATACACAGACTTGTAGAGAATTACATTTTCTACCAGATGATATCCTTGGATGCCCGATAGCTGCTTTCCTTACACACGATTAACAACTATCTATAGACATGTAATTTATCGCGGAGAAAGAAAAAAATTTGTTTTTCCGTTCTGTTCTCTTGATAAACAATATACGCCAAATACGTGTAGTAACAGAAGGAAAAAGAAAATTATTTTCCCCATTCTTTGCGACAAATTACATGTCTATAGATAGTTGTTAATCGTGTGTAAGGAAAGCAGCTATCGTGCATCCAAGGATATCATCTGATAGAAAATGTAATTCTCTACAAGTCTATGTATTTCAAAAGACTTTTTGGTTTGATTTAGTTACCGAAAAATTGAGAATATTAGACGAGGTCTATTGAATGAATATTAATTTTAATTACTAATTATTACGTATAATATTTTAGAATTTTGAAAAACAAAAGATACAGTTAGATTCAGCATTTTTTTTCTCTTTCAAATGATGTATTTTGAGTTCGGTTTTCATTTTTTTCGAAGCCAAAAAACGAGAGTTTTCTGTAAAACCTAAGATGCTTCCGGTATTGAGAATGTTTCGGCATGATCTTAACATCTTTTTCAATTTTTATGTATATCAACGTGTAGAAAAATTTTTTCTCTATCAAATGATGTATAATTCAAAATATTTTGATGGAAAATAGATCTGTGATAAAGACAAAAATGTAAGTGTCCGAATAATTTTTTTTGCTCATAAATTCTACTATTTCTCAGAAAACCTTCTAAAACTTTATGAAAACTACATGAAAGAAAGAATATTTTCTATGCAAAAGAAAGTAGAGATCATGATCTATCGAATGATGTATTCAGAGTCAAAAAATATATTTCCATCACGAAGATATTCGCTCGACAAGTTAGATGTAGTAAGATGTCCGAATAATTTTTTGACATACTGTAAGCACGGATGCTTTATTTATTATATAGATTAAGTCGCATTCTGAACAAGTAAAAATTTGAAAAACTAACATTATATCTATTGACATTTTGAGAGTTTTAGGGCTAAGACCCCAAACAAAAAGTCCTGATGTTGCTGCTACTCAGTAGTACATTTACTCATTTGAATAATTACACAAAATATTATAACACTGAGATCAATATGAAAGTAGCGGCAGAAGTACTTTATTTTCGTATCGAAATTCTGAGGAAACTATTATTTTTATCTAGTGATAGTAAAAACAACGCTATACTTTTTTGTGATATTTTGGTCATTTTTTTAACTAATATCATAATAATAAAATCTTGATTAGAGCTGTTTGCTATGATGTATGACCATAAAATTAGATTATATTGTTTTCGATGTGTATTTTTCTTGGGCTCTTCTGTTGATGTGTTATGATATTCTCCTCTGTCAACAAAATAGATTAAAATGTCAATCGATGCAAAAAGATTATTTATATCTTTTCTTATAAAAGATGTTGATATGTATGGCTGCTTGTCTCAAGAGATGGATGAGATGGGAAATTCCTATCCCACGCGAAGTTTTGCTATGTATAAATATCATTAACACGCCAGAGATATACATACACAAATATCCACTCATATTCATATCAAAATTGTTGAAACGCTGTTAACAGAAGTAAGCTTCGATGTTATTTCTTGCTTGTCCCTCTTATATTAACATTCATCATATCAGAATGAATAGAAAAAAGTATAAAGAACTTTAATTAGGTCCAGTACGTCGATATTGATATCTATCAGGACCTTTGATAATAACTAAATATCTTTCAAATCCAAACCATTTCAGAGTTGAGTTTAGGTTCGGTATAATAATTCTCATTTCGGGCTTTGGTTTACCATCTGAACTCACCAAACTATTTGAGTTTGAGTATAATCCAGTTTCTTTCTTTCCGCTTCTGTATACTCAAAATACTTTTTTTAATGAGAATACAAGCGAAAACACACTTCGATGTTTCACACTGTAAAATAGCCAATTTAAATTATTTTGTAAATTCCAGTACTCGACCAATACCACAGATTTCTCTCGAATTTACTTTTTGCAAGATGCTTGTTTTGTTCTACTTTCAGCATACTTGTTTTAAGAGCAAATCATAGATTCGTATATGTTGAACATAATCTTGTTTATTTTCTTGTAATCAAAGAATCACTACGGTCAGTAAATTGAGGCACATCTATACATACATATATATACTCTTGGAAAAAATAGCTGCACTCTGTTTTTCCAATATATTTTCACTCTAGTAATATACTTTTTAAAAAGTAATCACATACTCTGAAAGCCCGTGGAGTTTTCTATTATCCTAAATAATAAGGTTATAGTTTAGGTCTATTCATTACTAAAATAAATTAAATACAATGAAGGCCCCATGATATCGAGATTCCCAAGAATTTGATTTTTTCACTGTGATCAAAATTAGTTTTTTAAATTTTTTATCACAATATTATTGCCTTTTTAAAAAGTCAATTGTATATGCCGATAGAGCTTGAAATTCTCTATTTTTCTGTATATTTGTCAACTCTCTTGCATTTACGTACTGCAGAAATAATTTGAGTACAATGAAAAAATTCTTAATTGACAAGTACCAAAAATCTATATTTTTTTCGCTGGTTTTTTAAAGTTATTAACCTCTAAGGTATAAATTATGTAACAGAAATTGTACTATTGATAGCGCATGACATTCTCTATCATTCTATCTACTGTTATATTATTTTGAATTCGTCTCGTACTTCTCCTCCATTTATTGATCTATTCCTCCTTTTTTGATACTTTCGTTGCGAAAACCACTAATGACAGTACTTTTGCAACACTCTTCGTGAGTTTTGTAATATGGTGGTCTTCGCAATGATTCTGAATCGAAATCTTTCCGTAGACTCCTATCCGATTGGGTGAGATTCGACTGAATCTTCTCCGAATTTCGCGAAACATCCGAATTAGACTATATTCGCCGTAGTACACAGTGGAAAAAGAACTGATTCCTCAAGATTATAATATGAATAAAACTTTATTTATAATTACAAAAAATCGGCATTATATACCAAGGATAACAGTAGCAAATTTACAATATATACAATATTTTAAAAATAATTTTACACAAGCTTACAATTCAAAAATTTAAGCTAATCAATAGTTGTTCTTTTCTACCTATATTGAAACACTTCTTTATCATATATTTGAAAATTCAATTTTAAGAGAGTCTCCATCAGACTACTGACCAAGCATGCATATAAGACATTTTGATTTTGAAATAGGTTATACTATTTGCAAGTTCATGGAAAGTTATGCTGAAAACCAAATTTTTAGCTCATTCTGGAAACTCTATCAAAAGATCTGAAGAAATCTTTGAATTCATCGAAAGTAAAAATTCATAAATTTTCTAAAATTTTGATGAATTTTAGAGAATCTTATTTAATACTATGATAACACATATTGCCATTTAAGATCACTCTTTTTCAATATTAATTAATGTATCTTGATTACATCTGTTAAATGCACCATGATAGACCAATATTCTCAAATATAAATTGTGTCTAAAACTCTCTAATGTGTGTTTTTTTGAACTCGAAAAATGACCGTTTTTTTAATGAATTTTTTAAAAATTTTTGCTCTAAAAATATACAAGAACGATTTCCTCTGAAAAATCATTTAGCATTAAGAGAAAGTCTGTCAAAAACTGTATCTTTCTACATATTACTCAACAAGATAAAGTTTGGGGAAGGTATTTAATATT